GTGTGTGTGTGTGTGTGTGTGTGTGTGTGTGTGTACATCCAAAGCCTCTCCATTTCCCATGGGTGGCAACTTGAAATACCATGGCTGTTCCTCTTCCTGCGGAAGGGGAGAGGAACCACCGGCTCGTCTCAGGGAGGTCAAGGGCAGACACCTGATTAGCCAGTGCCTCCAACAGGCCTTCAGACCGAGCTAACTGCCAGCGACTGGCCTACTTACAGACGGGCACTTGTGGCAACTGAGAAGTATGAAGGGCATTTTGATTCATGAAGACGGCTGGCTCCGCCTCAGGCAAGAAGGATAAACGGCCTCTCGTCGAGAGGTGCTCTTGTCCTCCTTGCCTAGTCCTCCAGGCCTGAGAGTTCGCACAAGATTTTACAGACGTGAGTCTTCCGTGTGACAAAATTCTCTACACAGCTGAAGATCTGCTCTCCTCAGCATCAGAACACTTCATTTTAACCATTTTGTACAGACACCTTTTAAAACTGAATGATTCGTGACTCGGTTATCTTAAACAGAGCACATTCAATATAATGTGTTTTAGCCTTCACAATTATATTGTTACCGGCTGTCCATTTTTACTGTAAAAATACTAGGAAATACAGCTAAGGAAAACAAACCCAAAGAGAATGCACACGGCATGTGGGTCTTGCTCTGTGTTCAAGCGGAGACCCCATCAGGCTTATCTTGTGGCGTGGAGGGACTGGACTGTGTGTCATGAATGAACTTCAGACCGCTGTAATTTCAATTCTTCTGTCTGCTTCTGCTTCTGATGCCGGCTCCTCTACCGTTTACCGGGTGGGTGTCACTTAACGTTTGCTGTCAAGATGATTATCAGCACAGCCCTTTTCGGTGTCCCTTCTACTTTGTTTCTTTTGATGATGCGGAGTTTGGAAATCAGACAACTCGGCCTGACAGAAATACACCCGAAGGCAGAGTAAGCAGGCTGTGAGCGAGGGGCCGAGGGGCTTCCTGAGAAAAGTGCATCAGCTCTAGTCCTGGACCCTGGGGCATTTTTATTGGTTCGCTGAAGCCTTTTTTGCTTACCCTCTGGTTCTAGGCTATGGTGGAAATAGGCAAGGTTGACAGAATTTTGGTGCATAAAGTCACGGTATCACTGATGCTTCGTCTATAGGTTATAATTTTTAGCCTTAACAGTTGACACAGAGAGAAAAAAATCTCCGCTGTTTCAACTCTGACTATACCAAGGTCTCTTTGTAACTGTCTTCTATCACCGTATGACATCTGTGAAGAACGTCTAGAAATACACTGACTGCACCACGGGAAAAGCATAAAGGTACAATGAGCGCCTCCCTCCCTCACTCAGGACTGACCCTGCCAGTGGACGAGACAGAAGGGCGCCAGATCACCGCTTCCTAACGTGCTGGTCTCACGCGGGGGCTCCTCACTGGCCGGGACTACGACCTTTTCTCTTCCTTTTGATGCAATCTGAAAACCTGAAAGAGTCATTGCTCTGACCACTGCAAAGGAATGTATCACCTCAGACACGGAGCTGACCCGGGGGTCGGGATTCCAGCATTTCCCCGTTGCTGCTAAGACGGCGGCACCCCAGTCATTCTAGACTCTGCTCAGCCTTTCTTAAGTAGTAAATTTTAATGCAGATGACTTCATTTTGTTATTTACTTTTGGATTTTCTACAGCTTACTTACCTTTGATTGCTACTCAACTTAGGAAGAGAAACTCTTTAACAGAAAATTAGGTTTACTGAAAACAATGATCATAGTTTTCATTTACTGAGATTTACTAGATGCCAGACACCAAACATCTCATTTAATTCTCATCTCTATTTTCCATTCATTCATTCAACGAGTAATTGGCGAGCACCCAGGCCCCGTTTTAGCCTCTGGGAGTTTTCACTAATTCATTAAGACAGAGTCCCTGCACTCAAGGACCTTACAGTCTATTCCAGTGTGAGAAGGCAGGCAAGTAAGCAAATATAATAACAATCTAGTCAATAGTGACAGAAGCTATAAGAAAGAAAAAATAGGCAAGGGGAACAGGGGGTGATGAGGTGTGTGTGTGTGTGTGTGTGTGTGTGTGTGTGTATATGTGTGTGGTGGGGGGGTAGCTGGTGCTAGTTTAGACAGGATGGTGAAGAGAAACTGGAGCAAACACCTGACAGAAGTGAGCCCTTGAGGACACAGGGAGGAAGACCACTCCGGGCTGGGGGCTCAACAGGTGCAAAGGCCGGCGTGGGGAGGGTGCTTGGCCAGCTCGAGCCACGGCCAGGAGGCCGGCGTGAGCAAAGGCAGTGAACACGGAGAAAAGGAGGGAAGCAGGGAAGGTCAGAGAGCTCTGGAGGGTCTTCGGACTTTCCTGTGAGTGAGAGGGGAGCCCCTGGAGGTTTCGAGAAGCGGGCAAAGATCGGCATCACGCGCTGTTTGCGCCACGGGAAAAACAGAAGGACATGAGCCCCTCCCTCACTCGCGCAAACGCTGGTTTTGCAACTGGGGCCACAGAGCCGTAGAGCGGGAAGTGACCTGCTCGCTGTGGGCAGAGCAGAGCCGGGGGACGGACAGCCGGCTGCACTGGCACATCCTCTTTACGGGGAGACTGCCGGACGGATGGTTTCTATGCATCAAGACTGAGATTAGTATCGGATGAGCTTGGTGTAAAAATACAAAGTCACAACGAAAAAAGTCTTTATATCCTAAAACTCTTTTCAGCTTTGTTGAGATAGTATCGACACGACGTATGTTAAGTTCAAAGCGTGCGACGTACATGTCGTGAAAGGATTATCGCAGTAAAGTGAGTTAACACCTCCATCCCTAAAACTCTTAAACGGGACTCAATGCATTAATTCCAATTTTCTTGATTCTAAGCCCAACATCATCATCTTCTTCTTCTTCTTCTTTTTTTAAATTTTTTTAACGTTTATTCATTTTTCAGAGATGGAGAGAAACAGAGCATGAGCAGGGGAGGGGCAGAGAGAGGGGGAGACACAGAATCCGAAGCAGGTTCCAGGCTCTGAGCTGTCAGCACAGAGCCCGATGCGGGGCTCGAACCCATGGACCGTGAGATCATGACCTGAGCTGACATCGGAAGGTTAACCAACTGAGCCACCCGGGTGCCCCGCCCAACATCTTCCTAATTCCAACAAATGACCTATCTGGTCCTCACGACAGCTCTAATTTTAGGTGACTTTTTGAATTCGAAAAGAATACTGCTTCATGCCAAATGAGGGATTTCATGATTTTTTTTTTTATCCTTTGATTTTTTTAAAAGCATCACATACCTTCTACAGAATTTCTGTGTACTTAGCCAGTAGAGTGAGTTCTTGGTTGTCAGCGACTGGCCTTTGTTCTTCAGGATCCCCTGGAGGCTGTGTCCGTGGAAACAGGTTCTGGCCGCGTCTCCTTCTGCCCAGTTGAACTGAAAACTCGAAGGCTTTTTTCTTCCAACAGTTGGTGTTGAATCAACCAATGTGCTAAATTGTTTTTGTAGATCCACCACCATTTCTGGAAATGGGAGGAAAAAAGGAAAGGAATAAAATGAAAACTAATGTTAAATCACAGATACTGCCTGTAGTTTACTTGTTAGCAACGTACTAACGTCGGTTTCTGAGTTTTGATAAACGCACCAAGATAATGAAAGGCGAAAACAGTAAGGGAAACTGAGACTGGATGAGGGACACTGGGGAACTACTTAAAAAAGACTAAAATGGTAAATTTTATATTATGTATTTTTACCACAGTTGGGGGGGGGGGAAATTAACAAGACAACCTAAAGGCAATTCTCCAAACCAGAGTTCTGAGTGTCATAGAAAGATAGGATTTCAGATTTTGGTGGGAACTTAAGTTCTGTTTTAAAAAATGCAACATTCCTGCAATAGATTCCCATGGAGATTTCTTGCAGATGATGATGTTTCTTTGGATGTGCATTGAAACGTTTGTTGAAGAAGTAAAAAAAGTTCCTTCGGCACTCACTTTTTTTGTTTTTTTTTTTAACTATTTTTATTTATTTAACGCAATCTCTACACCCAAAGTGGGGCTCAAACTCACGACCCCCCTATCAAGAGTAGCACGCTCTTCTGACTGAGCCAGCCAGGCACCCCTAGGCACGCCCTTTTCAAGTCAAGATATTTAGCTTTTCTACATGGTGATGCTACGGGGCATTAACAGAAACCACAACTCACCTCGTCTTTTAAATGCCACTGCTCTGTCAATGGATGAGTGGTAGAGTGGCTTTTCGCTTTTCCACAGATACCTGCACAATACAGAAAAACATGCGGAGTATGACGGAGAAGAAATGGACCTAAACACAGTTCAGAAAAGTTTCTCTGAAGCGATCTCTGAAATTCCTGCTGTTAAGTGTCGTACCTCTGCCTTGGAATGACCTACTGACACGGGTCTGTAGCACTTATGTCATAGATGTAAGTGAGGAGCGCTGAAGGTGACAGCAAGCCAACAGAATGACGTGCTCATCCCCAAACTCTCCCAGGTGTCATAAGGTCCTGAAGAAGCTATGAATTATATAAAAATGTAGAAATGGTTTCCTTCACCATAAAATTCTCTTGCTGTCTGTTCTCATAAAGTGAAACCACCTAAGAAACCACTGTTCTTTGTGCCTTGGCCAACTGTCCTTTGGCTGAGGATTAAATCAGAGGTGTCCTGATTCTGGTAACTCATACGAGGTGAACAGTCAGCACCAAGCTTCTGATGTAGTGATGCAATCGATGCTGATAAGTGACAGTTTTCCTGAAAATTATGTACGAACTAAATTTTAGTGAACCATACATTTAAAATATATCCGAGAGCTTGTCATTGAAACTTATGGGAAACAAGTTTGTGATTCTTTCAAATATCTTTTTTGTTATTTATTTTCTTAAATAATAAGCGTTAACAATGTACTCGGGGGGGGGGGGGAATAATAAAGAAGTTCCCTAAATGCTTTAATCCCAATCAGTGGATAAACCCGCTATTAAAAATTCCTTGTGGGGGTGCCTGGGTGGCTCAGTAGGTTGAGCGTCTGACTTTGGCTCAGGTCACGATCTCACGGTCCGTGAGTTCGAGCCCCGCATCGGGCTCTGTGCTGATAGCTCAGAGCCTGGAGCCTGCTTCGGATGCTGTGTCTCCCTCTCTCTCTGCCCCTCTCCCCACCTAAAATAAATAAACATTAAAAAATTAAGAAAAAAATTCCTTGTGATACCTAATCTAGATAGATTTTCTTACGCATTTATAATAAATGCCTCTACAGGTAGCAACTGTGCTATAATCTAGAAGACATTATTTCCTTCGGGTCATACGCCTAGGAAATGGGAAAAGCGATGTAAAATGACATTTTAACTGTCTAAACACTCCTTCTTTAAATTTGTACTTTGCTTACCTCTTCCCCAAACTATAAAAGCTACAAAAAACAGAGGCACGTCACAAAGTCCTAATGTTTTCTGCAGGAATCCTATATGCTTCCCACCAGTCTTCCCATTCTATTTCCCAACTATTAAAACCTAAGGTATAATTTACACACGCCCCCTCCCCCCCCAGCTCAGTGTACAGGTCGGCCGGCTCAGACACACACACACACAGTGGCGTAACGACCACCATGGTGAGTATACAGAGCAGGCCCGTCAACCCAAGGTCTCCCGTGCCTCTTCACAGACAACCCCTCCCCACGCTCCCACGTCCCTGATCTCAGGCCACTACTGATGTTTTTCCATCTCTCGAATTTAGCCTTTCCCAGAATGCCATATAAAGGGAATCATACCACATGTCACCTTTGGGGACTTTTATTCAGCATAATGCATTTCAGTCATTCGTATTGTGGATGCATCCGAAGTCTGTTCCTTTCACTGCCGAACAGTATCTCATTGTACAGACATATTCCGCTTGGTTTATCCATTCACCTGCTGGAGGGCATTTGGGTAGTTGCCACTTTTTGGCCATTGTGAATGGAGCCCGTACAAACATTCGAATGGTGATTTTTACGTGAAGTTATCATTTCACTTGGGTAACTATGTAAGAGTGAAATTACTACATAGCGTTATTAATGTTTAAACGTATGTTTAACATTATGAGAAACGGTCAAACTTCCAAAATGGCTGAACCATTTTGAATTCCCACATTTGGTATGGTCTTTTTTGTTCATGTCGCTTTGTTTTTGGCCATTCTAACTGGTGTGTAATGATATCTTGTTGTGGTTTTAATTTTCATTTCCCTATTAACTAATGATATTGAGCATCATTTCATACATCTTTAAAAATTTTTTTTAAATAAGGTCAGCTGCTTCTTCTTTTTTTTAATGTTTATTTATTTATTTTTGAAAGTGAGAGAGAGAGAGAGAGAGAGAGAGAGAGAGAGAGAGAGAGAGAGACCCCGTGTGTGTGCATAGGGGGAAGGGGCAGAGACGGAGACAGAGAATCCCAAGCCGGCTCTTTGTTCTCAGTGCAGAGCCCAACACGGGGCTTGAACTCACAAACCATAAGATCATGACCTGAGCCAAAATGAAGAGTCAGATGCTTAACTGATTGAGCCACCCAGGGGCCCCATACATCTTCTTTAGTGAAGTATTTAGTGAAATTCAAATCTTTTGTCCATTTAAAAAATTGGGTTTTTTTGTCTGTTTTCTTACTGTATGAGAATGCTTAATATTATTCTAGATACAAATCTTTTATCAGGTATGTGATGTGCACATATTTTCTCCCACTGTATCGCTTCTCATTCTCTTAACAGTGTCTTTTGAGGATAGATATTCTTTCTTCTGATGAAGTCCAACTTATAATTTCTTTCTTCTATAGATCACACTTCTGTTATCATATCTACGGAATTGTGCCTCACCCAAAAGGCTGCAAAGATTTTCTGCACATGCTTTTAAATTTTCCTCCATGTTCTTCCCAGCATCTTCCGTAACAACTGGAAGTCATGAAGACAAACTCTTAAGCTGTGATTAGGCTTTCAACTACTGTTTATTAATGTTTTTCATGGTCTCATACATAGTGACCTATACTTAGCTACTCCAGGAGACACTTTAACATTCCTCTGACAACATGGAAGATGATGTTCAGAATAACGGGAGAAAAAATTACAAATTTACGTCAACAATAGGGGTGGGGTAGGGTGAAACAGACAGGTAACAGATTGCACACACAGGGGCTGTGTGCCCAAGCACTGGTCAGTAGTGATTCACTTAGCTCAAAGCACCTACCCTATGAAGAAGGATTTTGGTAACAGATCCCCTGGACAGTCTCTTCCCTGGGTGCTGTTCTCCCAGCCATTTTGAAGATGCCATTTTGAAAACAGACATCCTCTCTTTGGTCAGTAAATTCTCCCCTAGAGTAGCTAAAAGTCAGCAAGTCTTTGATGTGCAATTGAAGGCTGAAATATCAGTTGGGGTTCTAATAGCTATGTCTGAAGTGTGAGTCGGTGCCTGGTTTGAGCTAATAAATGCCTAGTTACCACCGAGACGCCAAGTGGCATGGCCCCTGAATACGTAGCCTCTCAGGATCGGTCAGGACAGCCCGCTGGCACCATAAAAGGCCTGACGTCTGGTTCTCCAACATAACCTGAGACAACGGAACCAACTCCTGTTCTTGCTGCTAGTATTTTACCTGCTGAGACCCAACGACTGAGGAGACCTTCCTTCTCTGACAAGGAAGAGGAAGGACCCAGTTTCCTGGGTCCCACAGGCTGTCAGAAGAAGTTCCCGCCCCACCTCTTCTCTTCCATCACTGTGTCAAACCTGAATCTCGAGAAACTGCTACACCTCTCCCCTTTCTGGCAAGGATCCTCCTCCCCACAGGGCCTCATTCAGCTCCACAAGTCTGTTTCTCTATTTAAAAGCTCTCTTAAATGTAGATGAAAAATTCTACCTGTGAAAAGTGAAATTTAGGTCTTAGAGCACAAAGCAGGCATTATTATCCCTACTTCATTGATGAGGAACCTGGAGTTGAATGAATTCTCATTTTAACTCATTTGAGGAGCCTTTATTTTTCTCAAAGTATACAAAATTAGTTGATCAAATGAGGGTTATTCTAAATTTACATACAATACACAGACATTAATTTTTTCTTCAAAGTCTCGTAAAGACTCAAAGTTCTAAGAATCGATATAAAACTCTTCAAACCAGAGATCAATAGAAATGTACTCTATGTTATAGAAAATATAATGTCTACGAAAATTTATAAGCAATCCAAATTTCAGTGCACCAAGGCTAACAAATTAAGTAACTTGCCCACGGTCACACAACTAGTCTGTATGCAACCAGGATTCAAACCCAGCACTGTCCGTCTCTACGGCTATGCTCTTTCCACTCTATCGCAGTGAACCTACATCAGAATGAGGGCTCAAAGTCAAATGGCGAGACCGACTGAATTAAATATCTTCTCTTTCAGTTTTCTTCTGTTTTGCTTTTTGTGGGGATCTTTATTTGGGGGAATATTCCAACTGCCTGTGTCAGACTGATATTTGTAGTCTTTGTGATACCGGAAAGCAGATGAAAAATGTTCAACTTCGAGAAAGGGGAAGAAGGAGGAATATTAGAAATGGAGGCGAGACTCATGCAAATTATAAAAAGTTAATAACTGAGTACCATGTGGTGCTCTGGATTGGATCCCAGGTTAGAAATAGGACATTAATGGAAACACTGGTGAAATCCAAATAAAATCTGGAGTCGAGTTAACAGGAACACAAAAAACAAAGTTGATTAGGATATATGGGCTAGTATTTCTAGAAAAAATGTCACAGTGCTGATGAGTCTAACTAATGAAACTTCAGCTTTCAAATAGAAGGTAACGGACTTGGAAATCAAGTAGGTAAATCTAGAACTAGAAGAGATAACATACTTTGCCCTGGCTTCCTCCCATTCTTGTTTTTTCTCATCAATAGATTTCTTCATAACTTGGTACCATTTTCTGAAATCAAACCATGGCTTATCTGAAAGAAATGAAATCCATGATTAGTAACCAAATAAGTCACATTATAACCACATACCTCGTTCATTTGAGTCTTCATTCATTGACACAAATAAACACTAGGGAGTCAACATTTTGGGGATTAAGGAGTCACTATCTCTGTACTCCCACATGATTCCTGAGCAATCCGTCACTAAGTTCCTACCTATATTGTGGCCCTAACTAGATTATACTAAAACCTGTATATACCTGTTTCTCCTACATTTGACTATCATCTCCTTGAGAAGAGAGGACATATTTTAGCTGTCACTACAATCATGACTCTTCTTCCCAACCCAACACCCAGCATAGCGTCCGGCACACGGTGAGGCTCCGATATGTCTGCGAATACTTTTGAATTAAGGAACAAATGACTGATAAATGTGCGAAATGGCACTGTAATAGTTGACTCCGGACTTCCAGTTTCATCAGTTCCTATTCCTGTTCTTCCCAATCTGAATCCAAATCCAGAGAATCTAGAGAGAAGTAAGAAAGGGGATTGTACTGAAGAGCTGGGATGAGTGTGTGCTCAAGATGTCGAGGTTAGAGAGACAACAGAATTGAATGTAGTCGAATATAAGAATTCACTCCTCACTCTTTTACTCAATCCACATGGGGGGATGGGATGATTTCAGAGGGAAAAAAAATAACATTAAAGGTAAATCAGAAAAGAGGATTGTAGAGTGAGGGAATCAGAAGGAAGGAAAGGAAGATTATTTTAGTGTCTCTAACACCCAACATGGGGCTCGAACTCACGACTTTGAGATCAAGAGTTGCATGCTCTTCTGACTGAGCCATCCAGGTGCCCCAAGGCTGAATTTGTTATATATTTTCTTATGAAGACAGTCTCCTTCAATGTGTACCTAAGAATCTTTTCAAATGGCCAGTATCATCATCACTGAATTCAATATGGCATCATAGACCATATTGCCACAGAGGAGCAGGAATTACCAAAATAGCTACAAGGACAGGGAAAAACTATAGTGATTCATGCAACACAAAGTTCTGTGAACTTAAATAAGCCACAACTTCGTTAAACCTCAAGTTCCTCATCAATAATGTGGGGAGGCAGGGGACGGTGGACAGCAGGGAGGCAGAGAGAGTGGGGACGGCGACACTCGCCCCGCTGACAGCAGGGATTTATCTGGAGCATCACAGGGCAGATGATATATCAGAGCCCTCTGTTTACTCTAAATGTCTACACAGTCTATGATGGCCCTTTAGCCTGAGAAGGGACATTAGAAGACATTTTGTTCAACCTTCCACTCTGTGTTGAAACTGACATGAAGCAATGTACAGAAAGAAGTATTCTGCACATATTCTGGAAAGAACTCACAAACTGATTTCTACCGTTAAATCCAAGCTCCTAACACCAATGTATGTGCAATATTGGGAGGGGAAAAAAAAGGTCAAACTCTTAGAGTAGAAAAGTAGTTTCCAGGGGCTGGGGGTGGGAGATGGGGAGAGGTTGGTAAAAGGGTACAAAGTTTTGGCTCTAAGATAAATAAGGTCTGAAAATCTAATGTAAAACATGGTGAGTGTAGTTGATTACACTGTATTGCATCATGGAAATTTGTTAAGGGAATAGGACTTAAATGTTCTCTCTCTGTCACACACACACACACACACACCCACACACACACACACACACAGAGGATTAAAATGTGAGGTGATACATGTGTTACTTAACCAGATGAGAGAATACGTTCACAGTGCCAACAAATATCAAATCACCATGATACACGCTTTAAATATCTTACAATCTTATATGTCAATTATAACCCAATAATAAAGCTGAAATTTTTTTTAAAAAAACCAATGAACATAAATCCTAGTGAGGGAACTAAGAAACTAGAATTGAATTTAAGAATTCATGTATTTTCCAAACTTCACTGAATTGCTCCCAGGCCAGACACTGTGTTAGGCACTAAAGATACATTTAAAAAAAAAGAAGAAAGAAAGACGTGGTCCCTCCCTCTGGGAGCTTACAATCTACCTCTCTATCTTTCTATCATTTACGTTGCCCTTACTCTCTGCCAGCTTTTCTTAGCACTTTACAGGTCCTGGCCATCTACCAGGGCTAGACATACCTTGTCCACCAGCTCTAGTTCACTGTGCGAAACCTCCAACAGAAGTTTGTTCGGGAGCGGTTTGGCAGGAGTGGTAAGTTCTGATTTGGGGAGTGGTGAGGTCACAAGCGGGTGTGAAGGGAAGGTAGAATTTTGGAGAATAAAGGTGGCTTTGCCAGGGGTTGGGGGAGGAGGGGGGTAGGAAGGAACACATTTCAGGTAGAAGGACCAGTGTGAGCAAAGGCTGAGGCGTTAGAACAGATGGCATAGTCCCAGAAGTGCCAGCATCTTCGCGGTCTAGTGAGGAGAAGCTGGGACTAAAAAAGCTGGCTGGTGTTTACACACAGTAGGAAATCACTGAAGTTTAGTAGCCTAGATGTATAATTAGATAATTATATGAAGAAATAATTCTGGCGTAAGGTACAATTTGTATACATGTGTGTATATGTGTGTCTTTGTATATTTTTCAAAGTTTCTTCCTTACATCTATTGCTTCTTTTAATCCATCACTTGCAATCACTTTGAAGTTGAATGATAAAAAGTTAAGTACCTTCTTTGTTGTTTTCATTATATTTCTCAGCAGTATTAGACAAAGACCTGGAAACACCAATAAGCAAGTCAATTCATTGAGATATCACTTCTTCGAAGACAGTTGCATTTTGAATTCTTCTTAAAGAAAAGTGTAGAACAGTACTTGGCACCGATGCCAACTTTTAATGGAGAAGCAAATCCCTACACACCCTGCCATCGTTTACGGGCATTCGGGAGGGGTGACACTTCAAGATTCCTTTACTTTCCGAAATAATCTTTGAAGACACACAGCGCCAGGAGCCTACAGGCATACAGATAAAGTGCTACAAGATTCTTTAGGATCTGTGTATGATGATTTAAACTCCAGAATCAGTGAAGCAATGAGAACATGTGTATCTACCTAAAAATAGCAAGAAAACGCAAGGCAAATAACTTCCTAAGGTAGAATTAAATCTCTGACAACTGGCTGAGTCAAAATTCTTGTAAGAAGTAATTGTTGCTACTAGCCCGTGTTCCACACAACTGAGAGGCTCTATTTTCTGTGCAGATAATATATGGAATCCTTTACCTCTGATAATTAGGTAAAAACAGTACGATTTTTTCCTCATAAAATCGATATACACTTACCATTCTAAATTGTCATCCAATAAAAAGAGCAGTTTCAATACGACTACAATAACGGCGACAGCTTGTACATCATATTTAACAGTTTTTGCCATGTTAGCTATGGGGTCAAATGTCAGAAAATCCACTTCTCCTACTCCAGTCATTTTTACCACTTGGCAGGTTAAATCATTCATTTCATCTGTTGAAGAGCAAAACAGCAAAATGTGAAATAAATTCTTTGCCTAACTAGACCACGCTAAACTGTACCTCTGTAAGACAAGTTTTATCATCTTAAGACACGGTACGATGCTAGAAATCAGAGGCACACATTTTGTGAAGAAAAGAAACGCAAAAATGATATCTGTACAGAAACACCAATGGCAGGATCCTGGCAAGGCGTAGCTTTCCCTATTTGGGCTTCCTAAGACATCTACTATTTATAGGACACATTCTGGTACCTAACTCACAGCCACACACTAGTTTTCTATCGTTTCATACAGGTTTCTTGTCTGTGTTTCTACAGCAATTTGTCACTTACTTGAAACTAACTCCCTTATAAGACCAAGCGCTTCTCTACGAGTATACACTCACTCGCTGGCTGACACCCTGGCTAGCACGCTAGAAGGTTTGATGCATATTGAACTTGATGTACTGCTTTCCCAAAGACATTATATGTTCAGTTTAGCCTTCACCTATCATTCGAAGCTGAATAATGTGGCACTTGAAACCAGACGGCCTAGCTAGGGCCTATATATTTAGGCTTTCCGATCATTACCTTTGTGACTCTGGATTAGTCACTTCCTCATTTGTAAAATGGGTTATGGGAGGATAAACTGAGATTAAGTAAGATAGTACAAGTGCACATACTTTGAAAACACTAAGTTACTAAACAAATTTCTTTACTCCCTAAGTACATAAGATATGCAACATTCTACTTTAATTTAAGCAGAATAGCTATTATTTATAAGAGCATAATAAATTGTAATGAATTAAATTGCAATTTGATGCATGCATTCAGTCGCCATTTCCTCTTGACTTTATTTCCCTCTCTATCCAACAGCAAGCCCATGAACCAGACGCTTGCCATGAGCCGACCTGTGTCAGTTACATTTTGGTAAGCCCCTGTATTCCTTCTATTTATTACCTGGTGTAACATTTGTGCATATATTATGTTATGACATATTTATATTTATTTTTACCGTGAAAATTACACTACACAATTTTGAATATTGCTTTGTTCATGAACATATGCATTTTCCTTCCCCATTTAAAAACTATATTCAATCACATTTTTTATATTGCTCAAGCAATAGGATAGGCACACCATGTTTGTATTTTCTCTTAAGAACATAAGTCCTGAATTTCTCACATTTCTAGTTTAGCAAGAAATTCAGGAATGGATTCCATTGGCAGATTCCATCGAGCTCCCTGTGTCTCGGTATATTGTGAACAAGGCCTACCGGGGCTGTCTCCACATTTGTGTTTCATTGCCTCAGAGAGTTCACTGGGATCCTACCAGACTGATCTCCGTTTGTTTTAGGGACTGGAAATAGCATCATGTTACCAAACACTAAAAACATTACCATAGGTGAGCTTCTGGGGTTTTTTAAATTAGAATTCATTGTGTAATAATCATGCTTCACGTAAATGACAAAGCACTGTCTTTTTTTTTCCGGGAGGGGGGCACCTAGGTCATTAATAACACATATTGAAACGTTTGTTACTTTAATCGCACTCAGCAAACTTACTGTAAAACCAAGCATATCCCTCGTATCAAAACAGAACTCTTTAATTTCTGAACAATGTCCTTTTAACCTTGTTATGTGGCCTGAAATACTTTAAGAAAGGATTGTGAAATTAAGCTTCATGTTACTATGGACGCTGTCAGGTGGCTCTAATAGTCAGTGATTTGAGAGGATTCCGTATTTTGTTCATTATAATTCTACAATTCGATAACAGCTTCCTCACCACATACCCCACACACTTACCAGGGAGATTGACTTCCATCAAGTATTTCATACACAAGATGTTTGGATGAAGATAGCAGTCTTCAGTTATGTCTGGAAAACGTGGCAGATCTAAGAATTTGGCAATTTCAATCATCTTTTTATAGATATCCTCATAGGTAGGCCAAGACTGAAATAAAAGATAATCAAGGTAGCAACTTTTGCAACATAAATTACTTTTAGAAAATATTTTCTGATTTTAAAAGTAATACGTATTCACTGAATAAAATTTGGAATGTGGAGAAAAGCATTAAGAGGAAAACACCCATAAATCCTTACTATCCTCTTAGCAGTTTAAAACAGTAATAACGTTGGGGCGCCTGGGTGGCGCAGTCGGTTAAGCGTCCGACTTCAGCCAGGTCACGATCTCACGGTCCGTGAGTTCGAGCCCCGCGTCAGGCTCTGGGCTGATGGCTCAGAGCCTGGAGCCTGCTTCTGATTCTGTGTCTCCCTCTCTCTCTGCCCCTCCCCCATTCATGCTCTGTCTCTCTCTGTCCCAAAAATAAATAAACGTTGAAAAAAAAAAAATTAAAAAAAAAAATAAAATAAAACAGTAATAACGCTAAATAAAAAGGCCACTAAAATTCCATTTGGCTCATAAAACTCCTACTGGCCTTCCCCATGACAGAGAGAAATCCTTACTTCTTGCCAGTCACAGAAGAACCTGGGGGAAGGGACAAAGCTGTGACCCAAACCGGAGTTACAGAGCCATCGTGTCTGCTCTGCTGCACGATCTCCCTCCCACACCTCCTCACCACACCCTCTCATTCACCTTCAAATTCATGGCCACCAAGTTTAGCTTACTGTTTCACTATGTTCACATGCTTCTGCGTGGGCGGTAATACCAAGGCTTAAGTCTAATAGGTAAAAATGCACAACTCAACTTCTCCCATATAACTGCATGTAAGATTCTCTTATAGAATTCAGGAAAATCTATGAGCTATTATTAAGAAATGCATGCTGTTCACTTTCAGATCACCCCCGTAGTTTAATTGGTATGCTATTTTTATTTTTGCCATTTATAAACATCTTTGAAATTAATACTACATATAATTTTGCCTCATTGACTCATCCATTCACATAAAAAATGTTAAATCTAGAGTCTATGCGAGGTACTTTGGGAAAGGTAAAGATGAATAAAACAATGGCTTCAAGGAGTTTATAACCCAGAAAGGTGTGTGAAAATAACCACAGTATAAAAATAGAAAGTTATCAAGTAACTCAAGTAAGATTTTTTTTTTTAAGTCTTATGGAATTTCAGAGAAACTAACATTTCTGATATGGTAGGACCCTGTTAAAATAGGGCCTAAAGACAAACATTTTGGCAACCTGGTTGGCAGTGTTAAAGTTGAACATGTGCACATTCTTTGGTGAAGCAACTCCACTCCTAGCTACATATCCCCAACAGAAATGTACATGATGTCCACATAAAGACACGTGCCAGAACATTCTTAATAACGCTATTTTCAAAAGCCCTAAGCTGGAAACTACCCAAATACCATTAACGATAAGTAAATTTTGATATAGTCTCATAAAGGAGCACTTTGCAGCAAGGAAATGAATGCTCTGCCTGCAACGACATGGATGAATCTTCAAGACATCACGTTAAAAGAAAGAAGCCAGGTGCAGTAGAGAACGATCCATGCATATAAAGTACAGAACCCAGCAACTCGGCACCAAGCTTCTACGGAGTGAGAAGTCAGGACAGTGATCACTCTGGAGTGGGGGCGGGGGGAACGACTAGAGTGAACACAAGGGTGGAGTTACAGAGGTGCGAGTAATGCTGTCGCTCCCTGTAGCAGTGTTGCCTTTTCCGTTTTTTTCAAATGTTGAGATAGAGTGATTCTACTTGTACACCGAAATATTGTACATTGTATTCTAATCTGTGAATTTAAAAGAAAAAAAAGGAAATCAAATCTCATTGACCTTCGAGATGAACTGGTCTTTTTTCTTTATAAAATTACTTCATTTAGAACAGTTGCTTCATTTTGCACAAGATTTGAAGTATCTTTTCAAGTTAAGACAATTTTAACATTACCGACAAGATTTATGGCAATTCTAATCCTTTTAAATAATGCAGGCAGGATGTATAATTAAGCATTTTTATCTGCAAACAAAATAAACACCAGAGCAGTGAATGTTCCCCTTAGAAAAAAAATCATCTCAAAAAACCAATTTGATGTATGATAAATTCATGACTAGTATCATGTACGATAAGTTCAGGACTGTAAGGTCCTTAATGAAAAGCAATCTGGGAAGCTAAGAAGATCTAATATATTTTCAAATGTCCACGCTAAAAGCTGGTAGGTCAAACTAAATATCTGGTGACAAATAGGCTACCGTTCTTTCACCTATGAACAGGGGGTAAAATAATTATTAATAATGCAAATCTACGGATTTATAGTTTACAATTGATTCTAGATTCTCCTAATCTCCATTCCATAGGGCAGACTTCACTTTCAAGTTTTTCATTTATTTTTAAACAGACTTTTCCTTTTTGACTAACACTGAAAAGCTTTTTTCAAAAGGCGGCTAGACGGTTTTCAGTATCCTTCCACTTAATGTTTACCAATCTTCTACAACTGTTACACACATAGGTTGTTTCTAATTTTTACACTACTATAAATAATGTCATGGATGTATTCTAGTAACACTTAAATTTGATTATAAAAATAATACATGCTCATTACAGAAAAGTTATGAAATATAAAATACTATAATAAAGACAATAAAAAATGCTTATAACTTAGGGAAAGCCACTGTTAGGATGTTGGAGGACTTTTCTCTCAGCCCTTTGGGGCATATTCACATTTATAACACCGGGATTTCAATTCGACAGCGTCTTTGACAACTCCGCTTGAGTATCTTTCCACTGAGTCAAATGTACACGCTCCAAACTGAGTTATTTCTCTTCCATACCCCTACTTTTAGTCCCCCGTTGGTATCCCTTACCAAGCCACAAAAACCCAACATTTGGAACTCGTCCTTGACAGTTCCACTTCTTACACACCACGTGCACACAGACTCTTTGCCTCAAGGCTGGGTCTGGAAGGCTGCTCGTCCCCATCCCTTCCATAACCACTACCCTCCTCTCAGCCTCCGTCACCCCAGTCTGGGCTCCCAACCAAACGGTATCTCCATATCCGCCTTTATCTCTTTGAAACTAGCAGCAAGAGTGATATTTCAAAATGAAATCTGACATGTCACTCCTCTACTAAAATCTAATGGTTTACCTTGCTCTCAGGCTAAGCTCCCATCTGTCTGAGAACCTTTGTACAAACCGAATTAGCTGTATAAGTTTTGTCTCCTAAATTTTCACCTAACGTTATATTTTGTGTGTATTTTCTAATGTCATGAGATAGCCTTTGAAAACATCAATTTAAGTCATTGGAAAGTATTCCCCTGTGAATCCAACATTTCCTTATTAATGGACATCTATGTTAGATATACGTTCCATGCATACATATTAAGCAGCTATTAAAAAGGCTTTTTAAAAGCTTTTTTCATAGGCTGTTCCATGACTTAGGAAAATATTCACAGTGCAATACTGAGTGAAACTGAGTGAATACTCAGTGAAAACTGAAAAAGAAATTTGTATGTAGTCTTCAATCCTAATTTTGCAAATATGTTAGTGCACATTAAATAAGACAACTAAAATATAAATGTTAATGGCATCCATGAGAAATTGGATTGTGGGTGATTTTTATCGCCTTCTTTATACATTTGTTTTCTACATTTCTTTTAATCATTCTGAATATATTTCTTTCATAAGAAAAAAATAAATATTCACAAACATATTACAGTAGTCTAAAAAATTACATATAGAATTACCATATGATAACGGCAATTGCGTTTCTGTGTAGATGTCTCAAAAGAACTGAAAGCAGGGACTCTAACAGATATTCGCCACTAACATTCACAGCAGCATTATTCACTACAGCCAAAGGTGAAAACAACTCAAACGTCCAAGGATGAATGGATAAACAAAATGTAATATTATTTAGCCTTAAAAAGCAGGACGCCTGGGTGGCTCAGTCGGTTAAGAGTCTGACTTCGGCTCTGGTCATGACCTCACCATCCGTGAGTTCGAGCCCCACGTGGGGCTCTGTGATGACAGCTCGGAGCCTGGAGCCTGCTTCAGAGTCTCTGTCTCCTTCTCTCTCTACCCCTCCCCCACTCACGCTGTGTCTGTCTCTCAAAAATGAATACACGTTAAAAAATTAAGGGGCACCTGGTTGGCTCAGTCGGTTAAGTGTCCGCCT